TATTTCACTTTAAATAATTTAATTTAATTTTAAAATGTTTTGCTAACGCCCTCCATCTGGAACTATGCCATGCAGATTTTTGCACAGACTACTTCACATTCACACTAGCTCTAGCTCCCTACATATCTATTTATCTATGGATACTACGCATGCGCATGATTTTGTTTCTGATTCAGAGTCTATGTTTTTTTTTTTGGAGTTTATGGCCTGGTAACTAGACCTTTAGGCCAAGTCTTAAGTATTTTTATTCGGTTTATTGTAATTTTCCCACTCCTTCATAGTATACTGCTTCACAATATGTTGATGCGTCACATTGTGCAGTTCTTGGGAGATTTTGGCGGCAACTTGATCCAGCAGACAGCTGATAGTTGGCGATGGTATCTAAAGGTGCCTATGTAAACAAACAGCTTATCTTGAGAATCCATCACCATCAGAGCACTTGTTTCACTGTTTCCACTAATAGTTCACATGCGTAGACACTTAATACACAAAATCGCAACACTTTTACATATCAAAGTCCACTTCAAACCATTATTTAAACAATAATACAGGAGCAGCAAACCGCCGCCGGTCAATTTCCCGCCAAAACTCCCCGAGTCTATGTTCTGATCAGTGATCACAGAGTACTTTTTATATACTGGAACAAGAACAGACTACTAAGGCCGACCCCACAAACATACGGAATCCCGAAACGGAATTCCGTTTCGATATTCCGATTCGCAATATCGAAACGACGCAGCAAGTCCATATAAAATATATGACCCGCCAATCACGTACGGTAATTCTCCGTACGGAATTTTCTCCGTTTCGAGATTCCGTATGACCGCCTGTGCATTCGGAATCCCGAACGGAAAAAAGCCGCTCCGAACGCAAGTCTTCCATAGATTTTGCATTGATTGCAATACACATCCGTAAATTCCGTACGGAACGCGCTCAGTGTTCGTCGCACGACCAAAGCGAGTAGGTGTGTTTGTGTATGTTTTTACATTTAATCTTATATGTGTATAGCTTTTCGTAACCTTTCAACTTATTTAATTTAATAATTCGTCGAAAAAGTTTATAGACATCCATATTTAAAAAAAATCTCTAGATAGATAGATCTTTTTACATAATATTGACTAGGTATATTGCAAGCTTAGGGTGATAAGGGAATGCACCTAGTAAGAATGATACAGCAACAATGAAATCGCAATCAGAAAGTCGTCGTCATTATTCGCTGGCAGAATGTCTTGACTCAATGACTAACGTATCTCAACTGACCCTTGCTATTCCAAACGGAAATAAACGTTTGTGTGTGATGCATTCAAGGAATCCCGAATCGAAATATCGAAACAGAATTCCGTATGTATTTGGCCGACCTAAGAGTAAGAGGATTTCCGATTTACTGATTTTTGAGCATCAATCACTGTTGGCGACGCGTCTATAAAAACATTTCAATTTATTAGTTAACCGATTACGAATAGCCTCTAAAAGCGAAAATTTCAAGTCATAATATTCTAATAAGAAAACGCTTAGTTGAATCTTAAAGAAATGTCGAATTAATAATTTGAAAGTCTTGGGTTCAACTCCCAGGCCGGACTAGTTCGTCGTTTTCTTAGTAATATTTTCTTAATAAATTCATAAAGGGAATTTTTAAGATATAAGTTATGTCTCCGGGTTCAGTTCCCCGGTTGAGACCACCTTTCCAATAATATTGATAATTTAAAGAAATATTAAAATAAAGTTAGAGACCAGGATTTGTACCCCGGTCGAAATGATCACTTTGTGAATAAGTGGAATTAATGAAATATGTAAAATGAATTAATGTAAAATAATTGCATAAGCATTATCTTATATAAGTTTGATACGTTTTGTACGAAAGTAAAATGTTTATTTTCAAAGTTTGGTTTATGAAATGTTTCCTTTGTTTTGTCTGATAACACGGTGACTGATAACAACTTTGATATCTGATAAGAGATTCTTATTGGAAGCCACCTTACCGACAATAGGGGTTGTGTAGGGATCAGTTACTCATCTTGTGGTAATAGACCACAGATAAATAGGCTAAAATTGCCATCTGTTTTACCGACCACAAGGTGTAGGGTAAAAGTTAGTTGTTCATCTAGTTGCAGATAATAACAGCACGCTAATTTATAGAATCAAAGTTTGAATAAGTGGAGATATAAATGTTTGTAAATTTCAGCAATTTATGTAAAATTGACTTGTAAAATGTTTCAGGTTGACTGTATGAGCGAAATAAGTGAATTCTGTGTTATTCTCATTTAAAATTCCTATGGAATAGTGAAATATTGATAGTTTTGTATAAGAAGTTTAAAAGTGTTTTAAATTGTAAAATATATAGGAAAAATGTAAATTAAACTATTGTATTAGTTAAGATATTTGTATTTTCAAATAAAGAACATTGTTTCAACCTTATATGTTAGATATTTAAGAATTCTAATTTAGTGCATATGTTGTAAAATAAAAGGATTTTTGTGATATGAAAATGTAATGTATATCGTAGTATAGATATTTTTTGTGCTATCTTTATAAATAAAATGTATAAATGTATGTCTTATACAAATAAAGATATTGGGCAAACCGTGAGGGAGTGATAGTACAAATTTGATGTAATTGAGTTGCTAAATCGCACAGAGGGCGCGGCTCTCTTTCGAGTATAGACTTTTTGATACCCTGTTAGACTGATTTTCATGCAAATCGCTCGGGACCAGCTACCAGTATATAATATAATCAAGAAAGAAAAGCATATATGGAAGTGATAGGGAAAGTAATTACTCTCTCACGGAGCGGTTTGAAGATAATTACTGTTTTATTCCCAAGGGATCCTTCACCTTTAAAAATAAGTACAGTCCTTCTGGTGTCGCCGGAGCGGCACATATTGAAGAATTAAGGCGTTGGGACCGGGACGACCTCGGAAGACCCGTAATTGCCCGTAAACCTGAACCTATTTGAAGAAAAGGAAGAGGTCGACGCCCTTGTGTGTTACTCTGTTGCGGGGTTCACATACGTTGTTCCCGAACCCAACGTAGGTGTCTTAGGAAGTTGCGAAGTCCACTGTTGAACGAGCCGTGATAAAGATCCTGATCAACCCTCGTTCCCTTTTTAATTGGTCCTTCGAGTGTCGGATCGGATCAAGAAGGCGGCTTAAGCAGGGATTTAACCTCTGTCCTATTCAATCACTAATAAAAAACTAGATTCACAATCCGATGCAAAAGTTCTCTAAAAACTGTCGCCAATTGTTTTGAAGTAATTCTAGTTGAAATAAATATACATTGATGTAAATTCAACCTTATGTATATTGCCTAAAGTTGTATTGCCAAAGCTCCGTAAAAATTAAAAGCGCATCCAAATTTTTGAGTGGGCGCTCATTCGGTAAGGACATTTTTTGTCACTAATTGTGTATCTTGTTTTTTATTAGTGGTTAATGTTTCTGAGTTTACATTCATAGACTGTTGTTGGTGTTACCATTCGCCAGTTATGGCAGGCAAAAGTTATAGACCGTACAGTCTAATATGATATACGTTTTATTTACAATATGCTTTTCACAAAATGCTTTCTCAGCAGGGAGCCGTGGTAGCTTAGATGGTTAGCGCTAGCTGTAAATTTCACAGTACGCGGGCAACCCGGGTTCGATCCCCACCGGCACCAATGAAATTGTTAATGGCAATTCAAAGTGCTGATATACCGCGTGCTCGGCGGTGAAGGACAACATCGTGAGGAAACCTTCATGTCTGAAAATAAGAAAAAAAATTCAAAGACATGTGAATTTCGCCAGACAATTCCTTGCTCTGAAATCCTTTCACAAATTAGAGGAGGCCTGTGCCCAGCAGTGGGAGTTTTTTCCTGGGGATTAAATTTCTTTCTAACCCATCATCAAAGGTATCGTAAGTACTATCGTCTGTCTTCGTTTTCGGGAGCGTTTCACTAATACCCGGTATTACAATGAAATTTTATTCATGCTTTATCCAGGCTTAGGACTGGCTGGTGACGAGTTAAGTAAGTAACAATTAATACTATAATTAAATAGTAATTAAAATAATAATACATATTCAGTAAAAATCCACATATACGTAACAAATTAAAAACCGAAAATTAAAAAAGTGAAATTTTCAAACAAAACTAAATATTAAAATAAACTCAGTAAAATTAAACACTCTGTTTAGACAACGTACCTTGACCCCTTGGAAGAGTGGCAACGTTGCACGCGGGGGGTGTGGCGGTTGGCGGCCGGCAGCGTTATTGTCAGCACAGCCTTTGATTCGTTTCGATAAAGCCCCATAGAAAGAAGTTTTTATTTTAGTATTTATTTTGATAAAATCCATTTGCTGCTGCAAAATATGCACTGGAAATAAAGTATCAAATTTTATTTTATGTATGGTTCACTATTTTGGTAATGATGGCTTACACATAAAAGAGATTAATTAGTATCGTGGACTTTTTTGTAGAACTATTTAAGAGAAACAATTCCACCATACATTTTATTTGTGTAACTCTTACAATCTTCGCACCGCACGCCATAATAGCTCGCAGATGACAGATTTTTTCCGACTCAATTAACACTTATCGTTATATTTTTGACCAATTTACATATCTTTATTAATTATAGCCTATATGTTATTCTGGTGTATGAGCTGTATTATTGTAAATATTCATTAAAATACATTCAGTAGTTTTTGCGTGCCAGAGTAACAAACATACAACATATATCCATTCATCCTCACTAACTTTTACGTTTATAATATTACTAGTAGGATAAGTAGAAATCAGGTACGGCTGTATGGTCAAAAACTTTTGCTCGCCTTAATTGGCGATTCGTAAAAGCACAATATATGGAATCGCTATTTGACATTGACAGCTTCAATTCAAACTTCAATTTTTGTAAAACCTTCAAAATTTTGAAAAACATATGACTTACCTTTAGTTTACCGTCTAAAATAAAGCATTGAGCTATTTAGTATTAAATGATTGTGTAGATAGACCCACCATTTATAATATTGAATATGATCCGAGAAGATGATCCCCAATTTCGAATTACGCCATTTCAACAAATGGCATCAGCTTGTTCTGGTGCCTTGATAACATCTCTATTCAGTAAGTTATAAATCATTAAATTACTGAATCTGAAATAGTTTTTTTATAAATTAAACATTAAATTAATTTAATTTTCATATGCCACAAAAAAGCAACCAACTGCAACATATCTTGAAATGGTTTTTATCATATTATGATTGTATTTAAATTTTACAGCTATTAATATATTCATACATGCCTACATACAGGTAGCTTGATTATATAAACTATGTTATACTAAATTTTATATTCTTCTTTTTAAGTGACACCATTAGATGTAGTTAAAATAAGATTACAAGCACAACAGAAGGCTTTATTGTCAAATAAATGTTATTTGTATTGCAATGGACTGATGGAGCATCTTTGTCCCTGTGGTGAAACTGGTTGGATACCAAGAAGAGTACACTTCCATGGTACAATAGTAAGTTTTTTCTTTTGTTCAAATTAACTGCAGTTTTTGGAAAACTTGCACTAAATTTTATAGTATCTGTGTATTCTTTGTTAAATCTCAACTAACTCCAGTGATATTGTTAATTGTAATTTAAAATGCTAGTCTACCACATGCTTGAGAGTGAAAAAAACCTGCTTGTAAACTGTGAGATCTAAATAAGATGCATATTCTAAGACCAACACTGAAGCAATACCTTTTTTTGAAAAGATCTATGGGTATGACTTTCCATTGACTCCCATCGAGTTGGGGGTTGATACGTATTTTTACAGAAAAGTTACACTATTATAAGCACACACACAAAGTTACAATATGCTGAAACGTGTAATTTTTGAGAAAAAAATTATTGAAAATCAATTATTCTTACATTGTTTATGTCTAATCCTACAATGAGACTGATGCCATTTTATTATTGTTATTGTCAATAGGGATGTCGATTCTTTCCGAAAAAGATCGATTTTTTAAATAGATTCGAATTGTAAGCTGATGTATCGATTCCCAAAAAATCGATTTCTAAAATATGTATATTTTTTTTATGTTTGCATTTATAATGTAAATATTAATCCATTTTATGAGAAAAAAATCCCCTTTATCATAAAATATAGAGGGACTGATTCAGAAGGATTTCTGTATCTATTTTGAGACTGCTACATCTCCTGCGCTGCGGGAAGAGCAGCCTCTACGCCTTAGCGTAACAAATCGCAGGCATCCCTCCTCGCCTCCGCAGCTTCGACTTGTTGGTCGCCTTCGGTGACCTGCCTCAGCCGCTCCGGCTCGTCCGATGCCTACGATTTGTTACAGCAGACGGAGGCTGCTTCCCCTACGCGCCTCCGGCTCTTTAAAACCACTCTAGGGGTAGGACAGACTCGTACCAGGTGGAGTCGGGGTCAATCAATTCGGTTCTTTGACATAAGTTGAACCTAACCTATTTTATTTGTTATCTGCCCTAATTGGTACTGTTATAATAAAACAAAATTCAATAAGAGATCATTTATTATGGTATCTTTCTTGTTTTTCATAAAATGGAATTATATTTACATTATAAATGCAAACATAAAAAATATAGAAATTTTAGAAATCGATTTTTTATGAATCGATACATCAGCTTACGATTTGAATCGATTTAAAAATCGACCCTTTTCGGAAAGAATCGACATCCCTACTGACGATGACATTACAAAATGGCGTCAGTTTTATGGTAGGATTAAATATAAACAATGCACGAATAATTGACTTTCAACAACTTTTTTCTCAAAAAGTACGCGTTTCCGCGTGTTCTAACTTTGTGTGTGTGCTTATAATAGTGTAACTTTTCTGTAAATACGTATCAACCCCCAACTCGACGGGAGTCAATGGAAAGCTAAGCCGCACCTATGCCTAATGTAGTGATAAAGATACACTAAGTATAAATTCACTTTCATCTTTAGGCATACATATTGTCAAATAATCATGAATATCGAAGTGAGAAAATTTGCTGTTAATGCTTTTATATAATTTGCGGCTTAGCTTTCCAGTGACGTCCGTCGAGTTGGGTATTGATACATATTTTAGAGTGTAGAGAACTAGAGACCCTTTTTTACTGGAAAACAGGCATTCTATCTTAGTCCTCACGGCTGACAACATATCTGCATTCTGATTCGCAAATGAGGATAGATGTAGATGTCTATGGGCCACAGAAACCACTTACCATCAGGTGGACTGTGTGCTTGCTTGTCAACCTTATCCTATATAAAAAAAGCAAGTATGCCTTTTGTATCTGTAAACCTTAGGTGCAATGACAAGCTTTAGGTTCTTGGTGACAACAATGTACAATTCGAGGAAGGTGCTTGTTTTAAGGCATTTCTTAGTGCAGTATGTAGTATATAGTTTCTCAGTGAAGTACATTCTTGTGTTCAGAAGGAATTGGTGGGTGGTGACAACCCTCAACCAGCTATTAAGGCTTCTAATTTTCTTTTTAAAGTATAACTGGTAGGTGATAGGCAACATATCAAGAAAAAAATATTATATCTATGAACCATCGAGTTAACTGATAATTCACTTTCAATAATTATGAAGCTACAAGGCTGGCCTATTATTACCCCTAGCAAAGTGAAAAAGAAAACCTTGCTACATGGTCCCCCATGTATCTGCAGTCCACCATAGTAACATTAAGTGGACTCATGGTGTGGATCCCTCTTAGTTAATTGTGAGTGACAAAACCACAGCTGCTAACAATGACATCTCTTTACAGGATGCATTCTATAAAATAGCTAAATTAGAAGGTGTTCCAGCATTATGGTCTGGGTTAAGTCCAACCCTTGTTCTAGCATTACCTTGTACAGTTATATATTTTGTAACTTATGAACAACTTAGATACAAAACAAAAACTCTATATAATAAGCTTACAGGAACTGGTAAGTAAATTCAGAATTATATCAAAAAAGTTAAAACATTAAACAAGTAACAATTTTAAATTATACAATTGACATATTCCTACATTGCTATCAGATTCTGAGCTATGTTCAAAATTTAAAGTGTCTAGCTCTTCAAGTTTGGGATTCCTTGCTCGATAACCAGATGTCCGATGAACTGATACTCGAATTAATTTCAACAAAGCGCCACAACCACTACTCTTGCTAATGTACCTGTAGGCGTTTCTTCACTCTGAAATTACAGCAGAATTTTAAACACTTAATGAGCGCTTCTTACACTGCTGAGCAAAGTCTGCTATCAGTAACTAGCAGAATTTTTTTACAGTAATGTTTTGCCTATGCCACCTGTGGCATTCAAAAACTAACAGCCACCTGTACGCTCCACAACTCATGATAACTCTACCGTTCGTATGCCGAAATCAAATAGCTGTTTATCTACTCTTGTGAAAATTTTGTCATAAAAATGAAAATTATCAAAACCTTCGTTGTTCTATGACTATGACGATATGTTTTATTTGTACTACTGTTTGTAAAATATATATATAAAGTGTTACTTTACAGTGCATCAGCCAATTTGGATACCATTGCTTTCTGGTGCTTCAGCTAGAACAATAGCTGTTACTATGGTTAGTCCATTAGAACTTATCAGAACCAAAATGCAATCAAAGAAGCTAACATATTCAGGTACAGTTATAAAATTATAATAAGTAATAGTTTTATAACATTTAAAATAGTTGGATGAGTATTTTTTTTTAACAGTCAAGGTTAAAGGTTAGTCAACAACTGTTTCCCAAATTGTCAAAAACACGTACACATGGTTAAACAATAAATAAGGCTTTGGCAACCAACAAACAGCAGTATTCATTATAGCCTATAAAAGTTTACTGCTGTTTAAACCTCTCCATAGATTGCTTCATCAAGGGGATTTTGCCATAGTATGGTTAAACAATAAATAAGGCTTTGGCAACCAACAAACGGCAGTATTCATAACAGCCTGTAAAAGTTTACTGCTGTAAACCTCTCCATAGATTGCTTCATCAAGGGGATTTTGCCATAGTATGGTTAAACAATAAATAAGGCTTTGGCAACCAACAAACGGCAGTATTCATTACAGCCTGTAAAAGTTTACTGCTGTTTAAACCTCTCCATAAATTGCTTCATCAAGGGGATTTTGCCATAGTACCATGCTTGGCAGGTAGGTTGTTATCAGGAAGATGCTGCTGCCCAATTCCTGTTTTAATTTCCTTTGTCACCTCTTACGACACCCACGGGACAATATAGGGTAGTGGATATTTTTATGAGGTAGTGGATATTCTTACACCGCCACTTCACGGTTGGATTTATATAAAAGTTATGTTACATTAAAGATAAAGAGCAGAATATTCATCCTCGATCAGCCTTAAGAAGTCTGCTGCTCGAAATGCACTCTTCCCAGTATATGGTGGATTTACCTTAATCTCCACGCTTAACAGGTGGATTGTCGGTCGTAGTACTATAGTCTTTGCGTTATAGCATGGTGCGGGTGACAGCTTACATTTTAGCGTGTGTAGAGGTGAAACAATTTTAAAGAAATTTAAAAAAGGTGATTAACGATACATAAAGCAAAGCTAAAATTATCGATTAGCTATTGATAAAAAAGTTAAAACCTAAATATATATTTCTTTATAAATAAATTACAATACATGTATGCATGACTTTATAATTACATATTATACTATGTATTCATTTGAAAATAAAAATGATCTTTTATTTTATATTAATTGCAACAGTTTTCTTAACATTAAAATAAATAAAATGACTGCCAGCACCTGTGATTTCTGGTAAGGCGTTGACTACACCTGCAACTTTTGCAGCTAGATACGAGTGCTAGCGCCTTTTGCTATAAATGCGTATAAGTGTTACCTGGTCCAATAGGTCAAATATGAGGATGGAAGGGAAAACTAATTCAGAATTTGGTTTACAAATCTAATAAATAAATATATTAAAAACAGGTTTTTTTGTAGCCATTTTGGCCGCCATGAAGTTAGCTAAAGTAAAGAAGTTAGCTAAAGTCTTTTTAACACAATGCAGAATGTGATGATTTCTTATATTTTTTTAAAAATGCGCAATGCGCTTTATAATTATTTTTTGGGACTAATCTAATGAACGATTTTATCTTTTAGATATCGGAAAAACTGCGTAGACGTCTATGTGCGTTTTTCTTTTTTGGCAAATCAGAACTTGTTGAACGATTAGTTATTGTTGCACTATAAATTTTCTGAATGACTCATTTTAATATTATTCCGAAAAAAGTAATAAATCTTATGAACTCAAAACGCATGCACTTAACTAGAAATTGACTAGTGGAAGAACTGATCCATAAGACCTTTGCATTTTACTAAATGTACTTATTTAAACCGCAGCATGTATGTTAGGTACTGCACTAACTATTACTAAAAGAAATAAATAATGGTCGAATTGACGACGTTGATGCATAGCCTGCCTGGGCGGGCGGCATCACTCGGTGAGAGAAAAAACGAAACAGTATGAATGATATCTGTATCTCGCCAACGCAATATGCGGAAAATTTATTAATAATTTGTGGTTAACGGTGTTGGTGTCACAATTATTTCATTATGTGTATGTATATTATTTGTAAAAATATTATTGTGAAACTGTTTGTTGACCCAAATAAATGAAAAAAAAATTTAAAACTTTGATGTTAACTATTTAGTCCGAGTTTGGTGAAAAAATATGAAATGTCAAAACTAAAATATTTAAAAGTAGGAACAGCTACAGTAACAGCTTACAGATGTATTCATTTTGCTAAAAAATCGGGACATTTGGAGTCCGGATCAAAGGTGAAGATTAGCTATTTGTTGAGTTTGTTTATTTAAAATGCCAAAATTATCAGAATGGAATTATCTTATTTTTAGCGAATATATTCGCTTGACAGACAGAAAATATTGTCGTACTCTTGCAAACACTCGCAAGTTCTGTTCTAGTGACCTATGAACCGCCACCACCCGCACCATGTTATAACGCAAAGATTATAAACGTCTCGCATGTTTTAAGCGGCTTATTGTCGCCCGTCTGGCTATTTTTCTTCTGGTGTATCCAAGCCATTTGACGCTTTGCTGGAAAGGTCTATATCCAGCAATGATTTAAGAAGCGTTTAATAAAATAACATTCATTGTCAATATATAGCACAACTGACTAGAAACAGAAAGGATACATATGAATTGTCACCTAAAATAACTAACATGGAATGCTTCACAGCTTGTTATATTATGGCCCTTAAAAATATGGAACAGGACGGCAAATATCCAAGTAAACATCTTGATACAAAACATGGTTTATTGATTTTTAAATATGGAACATGGTTTATCGTCTTGGGCATAAAACGTAATAAGGCGTACACATGCATATTTTTCATCCCGATTAACTTGCAAGTATATTTTAATTAATAATAGTCACTCCTAACATTATTACATTTTTTTATAGAAATCAATGCAGCGTTACGTCAAGTCATTCGATACGAGGGTTACAAAGGACTTTTTCGTGGTTTAGGATCTACTTTACTTAGGGATGTGCCATTTTCAGGTATTTTTTAGTTTAGTATAATTCTATGCTTAATTTAGTACCTACTATATTAGTATATTTGAAATAATAATTTAATTAATTTTAGGCATATATTGGACTACATTTGAGTCTACTAAGAGAGCATTCAATAAACCAGATTCAGAAAAGAATTCCTTCCTATTCAACTTCTTTTGTGGCCTTGTTGCTGGCAGCGTAAGTACTTGAAATCTACTAAAATTTTATTCTAAACCTATTTTAAGATTTTTTCTTTTTTCCGCCAGTATATCCCACTGGATGTTAAAAACTGTTTTACTTGCCTTGTTTCTTTGTTATCTTATCACAATGTCTGTCATATTCTGTCATGTTGACTTATCATAAATGTATGCAGGTATGTTTTGTTTTTCCTCTTTATTGAGGAGGCTTTATCACCAACGTGATTATGTCGCCCCATTTGCAGCATACATGATAATATATTATATTTGCAACATAGAAGTAACTAAACAATATAATAATCAAGCTATGACTGAAAAAGTCTTCACCAATATTATAGTCACTTAATTGATAAATCAAATAAGCTGTATACCATTGTGGCGGGTGGAAGGAAAAGGGGAGATCTCCCGCCGGGCAAGGTGTTCTGCCCGGGGAGCAGCTAACGCTTCGATTGGTAGTTCGGAGCTATTCTATATATGTTGCTTTAACTCCGGAACTTTGTTAGTGCGATTTAGGCTCCGATGCGTTTCGCTTGTGGCGCGACGACAGCGCCGCTACATCACCCCCCTGCTCAGACCGGAGGTCGATAGTTCAGTCTAGATGTCGACGAATTTGGAAGTGCCAGGGATTCCCTTGTAGTCTGCGGTAAGTCGAGAAGAAGGCGAATGAACTGCGAGAGTGCCGTGCAGCAGAGGCGAGCAGTAAGGCTCAGAGCCGTGCCGAACACTGTAGCGCAGAGAGTAGCTTGAAGGAACAGGAAGCATTATTATTCCAGTGCTGCGATGATCCTTTGTAAAGCTAGATGGCTTGCAGAATGTGAAGACTGCAGACAATATCTGCTCGTGAGCGAATGAATGGGATATTTGAGGATGATGAAGGTTTTGAAGGTGTAGATTCCGAAGGTTTGTTGGTTGCGTGTTCATATCACGTCGGTTGGTCACCACTGTAGCGGGTGGAAGGAAAAGGGGAGATCTCCCGCCGGGCAAGGTGTTCTGCCCGGGGAGCGGCCAATGCTCCGATTGGTAGTTCGGAGCTATTCTATATATGCTGCTTTAACTCCGGAACTTTGTTAGTGCGATTTAGGCTCCGATGTGTTTCGCTTGTGGCGCGACGACAGCACCGCTACACCATAATCTATATTCATCATAAAATATTAATCTTAGCTTTTCGATAAGAACTATTTTAGAATATAGGCACAGAATACTCAATTGTGCCAAGGTACAGAAGGATCTCTCCACAAAAAGATTTAAATAAATGGCGACTTTTGTAATGACGCAAGAAAGTGCAATTTAGTTCGCACAGCGCTGAGTGTCGAATAATACAATGGTGACTAATTTAACACATGTATATACGTTTTCACATTTTCGTTTCATGAAGAAATTATATTTCCATTAAACGTTATTATTTACCGAGTTATTTAAAATTTTAGTAAATAGCATCTTAGAGCAACCTGTACTTAGAGAACTGTTGCGCAGCGGTCATTTGCCGGGGTCTCGGATCATAACATCGCATCATTAAAATTAAAACGAAGAAGCAATCTAATGGATTCAAATCAGGTGAACCCTATCCATCTGTTTGGGTATTCTTCGTCGAGATATTCTCTCACCGAGCGGGTGTAGTGCGCTGGCCAACCGTCTTGTTGGGACCATCTCTGACAATCTATTATGAGAAGTTTTATGCATGCTTCAAGGTTGACTGCTAAAGAATGCTTAGCATTAAAAGTTCGCCTTTTTACCCGACTGCTAAGAAGTGGTAACGTTTTGTACAACTACCTAGTACCTACTTATTAAACTACTTACTCTTATCCTAAGAATGAAAATTGTAATAACTCGTATGATTTATTAAAAATAATAAATTTGAATGAATATTAATTTGTTTTTTAATTCATATAAGTACAGGATAATATTCTTTCTTCATAATATAATAGTAGACAGGGCCTGCGAGGAACTTCACACTTGGCACTCTTATCTTTCATTCTGATGATGTATGTAATCTCAAGTGGCCGACGACGCCCAGGGCCTCCCCCTCCAGTGAGGCCAGGAGGTACGCCATCTTTTGGCTCGGGGTCAAGTCACTCCGGGCGTCCACTAGGCTGTCGAAATGACCAACGAAGGTCAGCCATTCGGAAAGGACCCCGGAGAACCTTGGCAGGTCCAGAGTTGGGAGCCGTCCCAAGAGCATAAAAAAATGATACAAGGATAAAAAAATAAAACTTAAAAAAATGGTTGTATACCCCGATGATATCGTCAAAAGTCGATGTACGTTTTCCCGCCTGCCCTAGGAACATACTATATATAAAATGCAATATTTTCGAAGAAAAATTAATGTTTTAAAATTTGTTTTTTTTTTCAGATTGCAGCATTTATTACATTACCCTTTGATGTTGTCAAAACACACCAACAAATAGAATTGGGCGAAAAGGAAATTTATTCAGGTTTGTCGAAATTTTATTTGGAATTTATATATTATGCTTGTAATTAGGAATAAAGTACCTTATTTAAACAGCACTGCTATTATTGATTTATTAAAATTTCCAGCATGTACATGTTAAATTGAGTAGAATATATTTAAAAAAACAGTGAGTGTAGAGAACTGGAGACTTTCTTCTTTACTGGAAACTAGGCGTTCCACCTTAGTCCTCACGGATGACAACGCATCTGCATTTTGATTCGTAATCGAGGATAGATGTAGATGTCTATGGGCCACAGCAACCACTTACATAAGGTGGAATGTGTGCTTGTTTGTCACCCTTATTCTATAAAAAAGAACGAAATGGGGTAGTGGTTACAAATCAGATGCTCATTTGATAGGCCCCATTTAATTCATGTTGTTGTCTTAACATTACTATTCCCATTTGAAGATATTATACGTGTGAATATATAGTCTTCTTGAATTCTGACAGCTACCATTTTTTTGACATGTCAGAGATTACAAACCTTTTTGGACGGGCACATTTTTCAATTTCAATACGAGTCTGAACATCTGAGACTATACATACATTTTGTTTGTTAGTGAATGTATCCATTTTATTAAGTGCGGTGTTCCACAATAAAAGTGGTTTTACGACGAGTGATAATTACGTCCTTTTTCATCAGTAAAAAACGCACAAGTAAAGATAACATATTTTTATTAAAATCTTTAATCATCATTAATATATTATATCACTATCTTCATCATCATCATCATCGCTGACATAAATTATTAAAGAGTCTGCGACTGTGTCAATCAAATCGTCGAGAGTGCACATCTTATCTTCTTCGTTTATTGTATGGCTGATACATTCTTGCCATTTATCAGGAGTAACATTACTTATACTTTCCAGTAATAGTTTTTTAACTTGTTGCACTTGTTGGTACTTTTTCGACCTTCCTCGAATGATAGGGAGCATTATCGAACACTACTACCGAATTTGGTTTTCATTTGGAAGTATTTTTGTGAACCACTCTTCAAATACTTCCCCAGTCATCTCCTTGTGGTAATCTGCCAAGCCTTTTTTTGCCTCAAAAACCAATAAGCCATCTTCCAAAAATCCTTCTTCGTTTCCTATATGGCTTACTATAAGTCGCCTCCCTTTGCCTGTAGGTGCCTTAAGCACTGTTGTCAAGCCATCGAAGAAAGCTTGTCGTGAAGATTGAATGTTGGTATCAACACCACACTTTATTGACGGTATGTCCTGAAAATTAAAATATATTTAATATTTCACTTATATATGAGGACAGTTATATATGCATATAAATTGAAAAATATTACCTATAAATATGGATTTCTTTATTTAGTTATTTATTCATTTTGGCAACAGAAATTTATTAACCAAAGTTAATTTAAGCGTTACATAAGTACAGAATTTGATTGCCGACTAATACTTTGAAGAAAAAAATAGGTTATAAAAAGTTAATTACCACATTATTCAATACTTGCCTTCGTTTACCCACGTTTCATCCTGGTAATATATAAACCTGCCTTCTCTTCCATATTGTTTAATTTGGTGTAAGTATTTTTGACGCCATAGTACTATCTCCTTGCGATCTGTTAGCGCACTTTGACGTTTGCGACTTGCGTATTTAAAATTTAAATGCTTCAATACTTTTAATGTTGATTTCGACATAACAGGCATGTCTGGATCACCAGTCCACCACAACACAAAAAGTCTACAAGAAAAAACTTAACAGAATAATAGAAACTGAACAAATATAACAAGATAATAACAACAAATAGCAGCAAACACCGAGAACACATGAGCGCATTCGAGCATTCAAAGAAGTCGAATGGAAATCAATCAATGTGACAGACGCGACGTGACAGCTAATATTTTTTTTTTTAAAAGGTTTACTAAACCTGGTATTAGTAGGCAGCGATGCCAGCTAAAGAATAAAATAAAGTAATTAAAGTTAATTCGATATATTGTTCGTGATATTGAAATATTTGTTATTTTTGTATTAGGTCACTTGAGTAAGTAAATATTTAGATTTACCTTTTTGTAGGTAAAACATAAGAAAAAATACGTAGCATTTTATTTTTTATTGCCCTGAAATGGGTCAAATTTGTCCCTTTTTCGGTGGAGAACTTCTTTAGTAGCAACACTTATGAAATGTCAGAATTCTACGGAATGAAAAATCAGAGTTTAATAGATTTAAAAACATTTTTTTAGTGTAATATATAAAAAATAATGTTTGTTTGTCCGTATTTTATGCACTGACATACCGATCATCAGGTTGCGGTAAAACTTTGTCAACTTATTGGTTGCACTTGCGCGAAGGCGATAGGCATAGTATAATTAACTTACAGTACGTGGCGTTGTACAGACATGTATTTGAAAGTCGTTATATCATTCAATTTCAATTAATATATTATGATTCCTAAATAAACAATATACTACTCGTCCAAATTTAAAACGATAATTACACAATTATTTCTACTGCGGCAACAACGCGCCGGATACCAGCTAGTGAGTCATTAAAAAATTTGTAATGTTCTTTCAACAGATGGTAAAGTGCAACAAAGAGCATCGAATATGCAGAGTATCGTCAGAAACATATACAGAAATCACGGCTTTAAGGGTTTGTTTACTGGTTTAATGCCTAGGATATTTAAAGTCGCGCCTGCATGTGCTATCATGATCGCATCATTCGAATATGGGAAACAGTTCTTCCAAAAGTACAACACACAAAAATACAAAGAAAAATTACAAAGGTAAATAATTTCATGTAAGTAAATATTTAAATGCAAAAATGTGCTGATTCCTACTCCGTGCTTGTTTGGTTTGCTTTAATATTTAACACTAAAGTTCAGTACCTATTTCATTTTTGCGTTTATCTATGACATTGAATTAATTAATTTTATGTTTTTTGACACAACTGTTGTTTGTTTACTTGTTTAATTTTTTAATGTTTCCTTATTTATATACGTATATACATATAATGGTTTTCATTTCAGAAAAGGAATAGAAGTAACAATACTAAAACGTGAATAGCATGAAATCTAATTTTTTTTGTTAAGTGTTAATTTTTAAAACTGGAATCTTTAAAATGGTAGTAATCCTTATAAAAATTCATGTAGTTTGAATTGTTGTAGGTAGTTTTAGTTGTATATAATAATCTGTTTTAAAAATGGGCATGTAGGTATAATATGTTCTTCATCAGCTCATAAAGATTCATTGCTGGAAATGACATCTCCCGTTGTAAGGGTGTGAGTTGCCTTAGGGTGCTTTTCCACCAGAGATGTGCTATGCAGCTATGCTGCGAGGATGTGAAAGCTAAGCTATGAATCTATATGACCGTTTTTTTTATAGGAGAGAGGGCAAACGAGCATGCGGCTCACCTGATGGTAAGTGACTACCGCCACCCATGAACAACTGCAAATCCGGCAACGACCCGCAGATGCGTTGCCGGCCTTTTCAAAAGTAGTAGGCTCTTTTCTTGAAGGTCCCTAAGTCGTATCGGTCCGGAAAAATCGCTGGTGGTAATCAATTCCACAAGGAAGTTGTGCGTGGTAGAAAACTTCTTCTAAATCGCACAGTGGTGGACCGCCAATCATCCAGATGGTATGGATGGTATCACGAGTTTTGTCGCGATGTGCGATGATGAAATTGGGCGGCTGGAATTAGTCCGAACAATTCCTCAGAGCACTCCCCGTGGTAGATTCGATAGAAAATGCAAAGGGGTGCAACATCCCTACGCAGTGCCAGTATATCAAGCCGATCAGAAAGAACTCGGTCGTCGACGATTCGAACCGCTCTGCGTTGGATTCGGTCAAGTCGAAGGAGCTGGCACTGGGGTGCCCCGGCCCAGAGATGAGAACAGTATTCCATGTGAGGCCAGACTTGCGCTTTGTAAAGTTGCAAGAGGTGTGCCGGCATGAAATACTGTCTCGCTCTGCTGAGCACGCCAAGCTTTTTAGAGGCCAATTTGGCCTTCTCTTCCAAGTGACCACGAAACTGCACGGCACTCGATATGTCGACACCAAGGATCCCGATACTGGCTGAAGCAACAAGGAAAGTGCCTTGAAACTGAGGAGATACGACAAAGGGGTTCTTTTTAGCGGGTAACGCGCAAACTTGTGTCTTCTGGGGATTGAATTGGACTAGATTTAGTCTACCCCAGTCTGAGACTTTGTTCAACAAAGTCTCGACTGCAGACACAAGTTTGTTCCGGTACTCGCGACGTTTTCCCGAGAAATATTGCCACGGCTGGTGTATAAAGCATCACCAGTGCTGTCGTCCGCATAGCAATGAATGTTACTGGTTTGCAACATATCATTGATATGCAGAAGAAACAGCGTTGGTGATAGCACGCAGCCTTGTGGAACATCAGTGTTAATGGACTTGTAATCGGAGCATGCACCGTCTACTACGACCTTGATGCTCCGATCTGCAAGAAAACTGGTAATCCAATTGCACAATTTCTCGGGAAGCCCATAGGAAGGGAGCTTCGAAAGAAGCGCTTTGTGCCAAACCTGATCGAAAGCCTTCGCTATGTCCAAACTAACGGCCAACGCCTCCCCCTTGGACTCCACTGCCTCCGCCCATCTATGAGTTAAGTAACCTAAAAGATCACCAGCTGAGTGACCTCGACGGAAACCGTACTGGCGGTCACTAATCAGCTGGTGATCCTCAAGGTACCGCATGAGCTGGCTGTTAATAATGGTTTCCACTGATGCTAAGTTATGTAGCGGGACGAGTAAGATGCGCTATGAAGATGCACCGCCGTGTTGTAACTTTGCGAGGAAGATGCGCAGCTCCAGACTTCCAACCTCCCAGCCTCCCGAACAAGCCGGTTTCCGAAAAGCACCATAGACCACATACATAGCCTTCGGCAAATTGTACAGAAGACCGAATAGTACAATCTGCCACTTTGTCTTGCGTATGTAGACTATGAGAAAGCCTTTGATTCCGTCGAAATTTGGGCGGTGCTGCAGTCCCTCCAGCGGTGCCAAGTGGACTGTCGGTATATTGAAGTGCTGAAGTGTTTGTACAGTAGGGCTATGATGGTTATCCGAGTACAGAACCAGAGTACGAAACCTATCCAACTGCAGAGAGGTGTAAGAGATGGTCACATAATATCCCCGAAACTCTTCACCGCTGCATTGGAAGACGTTTTTAAGCTACTGGACTGGAAAGGACCTCAATAGTGTTTCCCAACGAATAGGTCTTAAGATGAGCATGGACAAAACAAAAATCATGTTTAACGTTTATGTCACACCTATGCCGGTAGTTGCTGGGAGCACTAAGCTCGAAGTTGTTAACTATTATTTTTACCTGGGATAAATAGTCCGACTAGGTAATTCTAAATTCGACTGAGAGGTCAATCGACGGATTCAACTTGGCTGGGCAGCTTCGGGAGATTACGACACATCTTCTCGTTAGACATACCTCAAAACCTCAAAACTAGATTGTTAAACCAGTACGTGTTGCCAGTGATGACCTATGGATCTGAGACGTGGTCCATCACTGCTGGCCGTATGAGGAAGCTCAAAGTCGCTCAGCGAGCTATGGAGAGGTCTATGCTCAGCGTTTCTCTGCGTGATAGACTTAAAAACGAGGATATCCGCAGTAGAACCAGAGTAACCGATATAGCCCAAAGAATTAGTATGCTGAAGTAGTAATGGGCCGGCCATATGGCTCGAAGAACCGACAACCGATGGGAAAGAAAGGTTCTCAAGTAGCGGCCTCGTACCGGCAGGCGAAGTGTAGGGCGTCCCCCGCTAGATAGAGTGACGACTTGGTAAGACACGCAAGAAGTCAATGGATGTAGGTGGCTCGGGACCGTGCTTTGTGGCATTCCTTGGGGGAGGCCTACTTCAGCAATGGACTTGTGAAGGGTTGTAATGATGTAATGATGATACTACTGAACCATGTCGTCCACTAAACAAAATACTGTCTTCAATATTTTTTATTGAATTATATCCTGAGTCATGACCAAATTAACGAAATAAATAACCAATCTGCTTTTAGTGTAGTACTTACAATTAATAATATTAAATTTGTCATATAACAAATATATATTTACTTATTTACAGGCATCAAGAGATTGTTTTGATCGGCAACACAAATAGTAATGACTATTCGTAAATCACAGTAGGAGACTATGTAAAGGGCTCGTTAGGTTTCACATGTGGGATCAGTAGCAATAAATATTATAGAAGCTAACCGGAAATGTGTGGAACTTTGTATGTCTATTATACAATTATTGTGTAAAAATATTGTTAAATGTGATACTAAAGTAATTACATGTGTATTATATATTTATATCTAAGAAACATGCCGATTATAGTGTAAAATTAAACAAATAATTTCGCAATATTTGGCAATGGGTGGGGTATATCATATTATGATTATGATTGTGTGATATCTTTTCATTTGCTGCTTGAGAATAGTTCTATAACAATTGATTCTGTTACAATTCACCATCATCATCATCATCATTACAGTCCTTCACAGGTCCATTGCTGAACATAGGCTTCCCCCAAGGAATGTCACAAAGCATAGTCCTGAACTGTTAAAATTACATCATAAAAATTTTGACTAAGCAATATAGAAATTTTAACCCAATTAGCGTCAAGAAATGTTGAAATGGATTTTTGAACCACTCCTATATTATTTATAAAAAGTGTTTTTTGTAGTAGTATAATAAGCCTCTTGGTTTTAACAAGCTGGCATGTAATTATAATTCACTATATGCTTTTAATTTGGTTAATACTACCATAAAATAGTATGTAAAAATATTTGAATTTATCACTTCATATAAATTGTAAATATGACTTTAATTTATATGCATATGCAAACCAAAATTTACAAATAAAAGTAGCAAAATGAAACAATTTTCAGTTGGTCTTTTATTAAATATTTTATTCAAGATTGTATTGAATAAAGAATAGCATAAGAGTTCATTTGTTATTAATACGTATTTAAAATATATGCAATCAAAAGTAAACTTCAAATTAATGAGAGATAATAATCTGCCACTCAGAAGATGGCGCTAGTTGTAACTGAGGTAAAGTTTTTTGTTACTCAATGTCAGTTAATTGAGAAATTAGTTTTAAATAATAGTTATACCTGGTAGAGCCTTGCTGCAGCTATATTAATAGTATGGTTGTAGCACGAATGGGTCGGCTTGAACGGGGAAGGACCACGCTCTCACAAAATACCAGCGTAAAATAGCAGCTTAATGCTGCTGTGTTTCGTATGGCGAGTGTAGAGAACCGGAGACCCTTTTTATTGAAAAAGAGGTATACTATCTTAGTCCTCACGGCTGACAACGCATCTGCATTTTAATTCGCAAACGAAGATAGATGTAGATGTTTATGGGCCACAGGAACCACTTACCATCAGATGGATTGTGTGCTCGTTTGTCACCCTAATTCTATAAAAAAAATCATTATCTAAATTATTATATTAATACACAACACAGCGTCAGTGGTTTGATTTTAAATTTTTTGCACTTTATAACTCTTTTTATATTTTTCCACTTATATTTATAGTTTGGTTTGTTAATTTCTAATCTAATTAATATAAAATATAAATAATGATACGGAAAGAAACAAAGTTTACATTTTCCTAAGAAATTATCATGCCCGCTATGAAATCTGTCAAATATTTTACCTCATTGTAAAGTGGCGCCGCCCTGGTGGCAGAAAAAGTCGTGGATGCCCTCATTAGTTGCAAATAGTTATATGAGAGTTGCGGTAGCGAACGGGCTATTAGCCAGCTTAAAGAGCTTGCTGTAAATTACTCAGTATGCGAGTAACTCGGGTTGGATCCTAAAATTGTAAATTGCAATTTTAAGTGATGACTTACTGCATGCTCGGCAGTGAAGGAAAACATTCTAAGGAAACCTGCAAGTCTAAGAAATTAAAAAAATATTTTAATGATATGTGATGTCCACCAGTTTGTTACCAGTTTGTTACGGCCTACGGTTGCTCCCTTAAAGGATCCAATCCTCTGGGGCCCATGAGCAGAAGACTTCCCGAGCAAACGTAGGTCGGGCCTCAATGTGGCCACGTGGAAATTCCTAATTACAATAAACCAGATGGGAGGACGTTAGAAGGACATAGTACTTACCATTATCCGAAGCTAACTTCGCACCAAGGCTTGGGCAGGCCGTGAGTGTGTGTAATAGTGGATGGAGAGTAGTGTACAGTGAGGGGTGAATGTGTGGGGCCTTGTCAAGCATAGGCGACCAGCTGCTGCCGAGTTCCAGGCTGCTCCAAAATGCTGCCACACTGCTTCAGACTGCTTCGGCGCCGGACCACAGTCACTTTCTTCTTTCGTCACGATGACAGTCAATTAACTCTATCGTACGATTAACTAACTTACAGAAGCCACTAAGTATCACGGGGTATAAGGTTACCGCACAAAACACGCACGGAGTTTCTGGATCAAAGGTCACTACCGTTTCGCGTGGCAACAGTTAGTTCTAGAATACAGAGGCCGCACTAGCTAATATTGTCGAATGCACTTATACAGATTCTGAGTATTATATTAGTATATATTCCGTGTAGTGGCGGTCAAGAATACCACTACCCCATATCCTCTCGTGGGTGTCGTAAAAGGCGACAAAGGGAAACAGGCAGGAGATGGGCAGCAGCATCTTCCTGATAATAGCCAAAATTACAATAAAAAAACTGCGGTTGCCAACCCGCTCGCCAAGCGTGGCAACTATGGCAAATACCCCCCTATGAATGTAACAAAGAGACGGCCCCGCTATTCCTGGCTACGGTGGCGACCATGGTAACGGCGGGGCAGAGGGTGCTAAGAATCTCCGGTGGAGGTTCGGTTGCCACCTTAGACGACTCGACCTGGCAACGTACAACGCACGCACCCTGAGGACTGACGAGAAGATCGTGGAGCTGGAAGAAGAGATAGACAAGTTGCGCTGGCATATTATAGGATTATCCGAAGTCCGAACAGAGGGGGAGGACACGGTAATCCTCGAATCCGGCAACTTGCTCTATCACCGGGAGGGCGACCATCTGTCCCAAGGAGGTGTCGGATTTATCGTCCACAAGTCTCTCGTTAACAACGTTGTAAAGATCGGGAGTGTGTCGACGAGGGTTGCGTACCTTATACTCAGAATCACCAAACGGTATTCGCTGAAGGTCATACAGGTTTACGCACCAACCTCGGCACACCCCGATGGGGAGGTGGAGGAAATGTATGAGGATATCTCTAGAGCCATGCATTCCTCCAAAACCCAATATACGGTGTTAATGGGAGACTTCAATGCAAAACTAGGCACAAGAGAGAACGGTGAGCTGAAAGTAGGGAAATTTGGAATAGGGCAACGGAACCCAAGGGGCCAGCAGCTGGCCGACTTCATGGAGAAAGAGGGACTCTTTATGATGAACTCTTTCTTCCAGAAGCGGCCCCACAGGAAGTGGACCTGGTCGAGCCCCGACGGTTCGACAAAAAATGAGATTGACTTCATTATGACGACCAGACGACAACTGTTCAGTGATGTCTCCGTGATCGCGAGGGTGAAAACTGGTAGCGATCACCGAATGGTTAGAGGCACACTGAACCTAAACGTTAAGTTGGAGAAGTCTCGTCTAATGAAGTCAACGCTCCGTCCCCCTCGTGCTCTGTTCCAAAGTCCCGAAACCTTTCAGCTCGAGTTACAAAACCGTTTTCAGTGCCTAGAAGACTGCAATGAAGTGGACGATATGAATGACAAGCTCGTGGAAACTGTCCATGCGGTCGGAGCTAAGTTCTGCAAGACCCGCCGCAGAAGAACACAAAAACTCTCCGATCACACTCTTAATTTCATGGCTGTTAGACGGGAGATGAAGCTACATTCTTCAACAGACTTGACAGCATACAGGCATCTGAACAGACAGATCTCCAAATGCATGCGGCGGGACTTACGCAACTTCAATACAGCTCGTATTGAAGAAGCGATCGAGCGGAACCAAGGCTCCAAAGTCTTTGCCAGAGATCTGTCTGCCAGAAAGAGCCACCTGTCAAAGCTGAAGACAGAATGTGGCAGCATCGTTTCCGGGACACCTGAGATTTTGAGTGAGATTGAGAGGTTCTATGGGCAGCTGTACACGTCATCTTTGGAGCCACACGCAAGTGTGAGTAACGATCCAAAAGCGAGTCTCATCCGACACTATTCCGAAGATATCCCGGACGTCAGTCTGAGCGAGATTAGAATGGCTCTCCAGCACCTTAAAAACGGTAAGGCCCCAGGCGAGGATGGAATTACAGCGGAGCTTCTGAAAGCGGGTGGAAGACCGGTACTTGAAGTCCTTCAGAAGCTCTTTAATTCCGTCCTTCATGGTGGCATTACACCGGAGGCGTGGAGCAGAAGTGCGGTGGTCTTGTTCTTCAAGAAAGGTGACAACGCTCTCTTGAAGAACTACAGACCGATTTCCCTTCTGAGCCGCGTCTACGTGCTGTTTTCGAGAGTCATTACGAATCGTCTCGCGCGCAGACTTGACGACTTCCAGCCTCCCGAACAAGCCGGTTTCCGAAAGGGCTTTAGCACCATAGACCACATACATACCCTTCGGCAAATTGTACAGAAGTCCGAAGAGTACAATTTGCCACTATGTCTGGCGTATGTGGATTATGAGAAAGCCTTTGATTCCGTCGAAATTTGGGCGGTGCTGCAGTCCCTTCAGCGGTGCCAAGTCGACTGTCGGTATATCGAAGTGTTTAAGTGCTTGTACAGTAGGGCTACGATGGCTATCCGAGTACAGAACCAGAGTACGAAACCTATCCAATTGCAAAGAGGTGTAAGACAGGGTGACGTCATATCCACGAAACTCTTCACCGCTGCATTGGAAGACGTTTTCAAGCTTCTGGAGTGGAAAGGATACGGTATCAACATCAATGGCGAGTACATCACTCACCTTCGATTTGCCGACGATATAGTCCTTATGGCAGAATCGCTGGAGGACCTAAGCACTATGCTCAATGACCTCGATAGTGTTTCCCAACGGATAGGTCTTAAGATGAACATGGACAAAACAAAGATCATGTTCAATGTCCATGTCACACCTATGCCGGTAGTTGTTGGGAGCACTAAGCTCGAAGTTGTTGACGAGTATGTTTACCTGGGACAAATAGTC